ATACTGAATGTGTGTGTGTGTGTGTGTGTGTGTGTGTGTGTGTGTGTTACCTAGCGCATTCTAAATGCAAACATTTGTCATGTTTCTGTTAGAAAACTGAGAATTGTGATGAGCGTTATATTTTAAATTTAACGAATCAATTTTTGTTTCAAAATGAATTCGAGGATCATTGTGGTTGCTTATCACTGCTTAAAATAAATTATAACATAACAGTCTATGTTTTTTCATTCGTGTAATCTCTGTTAGTTGAATAATGGTCCTTTGTGTAATCACCCTTATAAATTGTATTTATCTACGCTGGAGGAGCTCCTAAAAGATCTGAATATCAGGTAATATTGGCTTATACACAGCATCTTTGCTAGAAAGATAAAAAAAATGTTGGCCACATCACGCATGGTGGTTTAGAAAAAGAAAATAATACAAAAGTCATGGTAGCAGGAAGGAGGGACAGGGGCAGACCAACACGAAGGCTTAGCTGGATATAAGTGACTCCTTGAAAGCTTGTCAGGCGGGAGAACTGGCGGGAGACTGAGTTGCTGGCAGTTAGACTGTCATCAGAGAGACTTTCTGTAAAGGATCTGCTACATGATAATGATTAGTTGTTTTTTTTTTTTAAAGAAATTTTACGGTAAGTAGTTTGTTATTGCGTCTGAATGGTCAAAGCGCCATACTAATGTCGAAATCAGCTCAAAGCGATATGTTGCCAAGTCGCCTGCGTCTGTTTTGAAGTGACAATTTCAGCGTTATCAACCACTTTAGTAAACCTTTAGTCAAAGACCTGATTGATATGTGATGCAATCAACATCATCTCGACCAAACTTACTTTCCGAGACATTTCCTGGTAAATTTAGCTAGATAGACCTGGAAACCGAGATAATTTTCTTTAAATCAGACTGGTGAGGACTCGAGCATAAACGTCAGAACCTAGGGGTTCAGGTAGAAGCGCTCTGTTGGAAGCGGCTCATTTTAACATCAATCCAACGACTTAATGACTTGTAGCACGAAATAACTTTACATGAAATAAACAGCGGTACTTGCCTATCTTAATGATTCTGTCATGTCTGCCCCTGTCCTAACATAAAATAACAGAGACAGTGCTTCGTGTTATGTATGTTTTAGCAGGGAACACGCAATTTGTGTCCTTGCTAGAAATGACAAGAAAAGAAATCAAACCAAACGAAAAGTAGAGCCAGAAAGTTCTAGAAATAACAAGACAGGGTTAGAATCAAAATACTGTCTGAGTCGACTGAAAAACAAAATAATGGCGAAGTTGCTCACTTAGGCACACGGACCTTGAGTTCAAGTCCCTTAAGCCGGTCCAACACCATGTGAGAAAACGAAAGAGACGACCCCATAATCATATACAAAAACAATCATATAAAACTTATCTTCTTCATCCTCCTCCTCTTCCTCTTCTTCTTCTTCTTCTTCTTCTTCTTCTTCTTCTTCTTCTTCTTCTTCTTCTTCTTCTTCTTCTTCGTCTTTCTTCTTCTTCTTCTTCTTCTTCTTCTTCTTCTTCTTCTTCTTCTTCTTCTTCTTCTTCTTCTTCTTCTTCTTCTTCTTCTTCTTCTTCTTCTTCTTCTTCTTCTTCTTCTTCTTCTTCTTCTTCTTCTTCTTCTTCTTCTTCTTCTTCTTCTTCTTCTTCTTCTTCTTCTTCTTCTTCTTCTTCTTCTTCTTCTTCTTCTTCTCTTCTTCTTCTTCTTCTTCTTCTTCTTCTTCTTCTTCTTCTTCTTCTTCTTCTTCTTCTTCTTCTTCTTCTTCTTCTTCTTCTTCTTTCTTCTTCTTCTTCTTCTTCTTCTTCTTCTTCTTCTTCTTCTTCTTCTTCTTCTTCTTCTTCTTCTTCTTCTTCTTCTTCTTCTTCTTCTTCTTCTTCTTCTTCTTCTCTTCTTCTTCTTCTTCTTCTTCTTCTTCTTCTTCTTCTTCTTCTTCTTCGTCTTCTTCTTCTTCTTCTTTTTCTTCTTCTTCTTCTTCTTCTTCTTCTTCTTCTTCTTCTTCTTCTTCTTTCTTCTTCTTCTTCTTCTTCTTCTTCTTCTTCTTCTTCTTCTTCTTCTCTCTTCTTCTTCTTCTTCGTCTTCTTCTTCGTCTTCTTCTTCGTCTTCTTCTTCTTTTTCTTCTTCTTTTTCTTCTTCTTTTTCTTCTTCTTTTTCTTCTTCTTTTTCTTCTTCTTCTTCTTCTTCTTCTTCTTCTTCTTCTTCTTCTTCTTCTTCTTCTTCTTCTTCTTCTTCTTCTTCTTCTTCTTCTTCTTCTTCTTCTTCTTCTTCTTCTTCTTCTTCTTCTTCTTCTTCTTCTTCTTCTTCTTCTTCTTCTTCTTCTTCTTCTTCTTCTTCTTCTTCTTCTTCTTATTTTTCTTCTTCTTCATCTGCCTCGTGGTCTACGACTATTAAGATCTCTTGTGTACACAGTTTTTACCTCCCTGTCATCTGATACTCTCTTAGTATACCTTGTACATGGCCGAAGTTTAAACCCTTTCCTTTCGTATTATTATCATATATTCTGTCTAATTTTGATTGATAACGAGTCCTATTTGTGAGCTGCTTCTTTTAAGAGAGTCAGTGTTTTACCGCCCCTAGTTCATTTTCTCTGACTTTTTTAAAAATATATTTTCTCCAGCTATAGTTGCTTCTACATTTCCTATTATTTCCGATACATAAATTTTTTTTGCCTCTCTTTACAATAAATAGTAATAATCAAATAATAATAATAATAATAATGATGATGATGATGATGATAATAATAATAATAATAATAATAATAATAATAATAATAATAATAATAATAATAATAATAATAATAATAATAATAATAATAATAATAATAATAATAATAATGTGCTGAATAGCCAAAAAATATAAATATGTACTTGAAATAATATGAAATGTATAAACTAAGTATAAACTAATAATTTAAATGATAATGTATATATATGGTTGACGTGGGCATTTTAGCCACCTTAAAAAATTATTTGGGTGGAGGGGGGGGGTGGGTGGGGGAAGTTCAATGACCTGAGACTGCCCCACACATTAATTTGCCTATAAAATGTATAAGAAGGGCGCGGTGTTTTCTTACTTTATTGGGGAGGGCTGAAGGGCTCTGAACTCCACCCAGTGTTTGCCTAGATGGTGAGGAGAGCAAGGCTGCGGGTGGGCCGAACCCTCTTTCCCAATGTTTTGCTAATTTGATGGAACTAAATAAAATAATTCAACTTGTTTTTTTAAATTTTGGGTTAAGGAATGAAGGTTCCTAACCACAGTTTAACTGTTTTCGCGATCAACCCCCCCCCCCACCCACTCCCTCATACACACACACACACTTATCTCCACATGACTTGCACTTATTTCTAAAGAATTGTAAAAGAATAAGTTTGTGTGGACATGGTATTAGTTTTTACATTTTTGTTGTGATTATTAGTATCAATCCACATCCTAGCTGAGACGTTCGACCTAAGAGTGGGGTCCTAACTATCATTAAAGACATTCTTTTACCAGAGAAACCCACTAATCTCAGCTAAAGCTTTTATTAGCCATGATATAAATTCCACAAGGCTATCACGGTTTGTAATGTTTACTTTGTCTCTATCCCCATCATATGGCTGTTGACACATATGGCATTCACAAGTGATTTCCGCTGCTGCCTATGATAGTCAGGACTCCACACGTAGGTCGAACGTCTCTGCCAGGTTGTGGATTGATACTTTTACAACAACAGGAGGATTCTTCGAATAATTTTTAAAAGTCTCTAATTTGAGTGTAATTCCTGCTTTTTTCACTGTTGTATGATAATACACGTAAAATGTTTCCACTGTACAACCTGAATTTTATCCTCAAAGTCATTTTGATTTACATAAGATTGTTAAACATGGCAACTGCTTACTTTGATTTGCTCATACTTGATGATTTCTGAGTCCTCATCTGGAGTAACATTCATTTTCAGGCAATAATCACTCACCTCGGAATAAGGGCATTTACCTGATAGGAGATGTTCAGACCCTAAAAACTGAATGGTTGGACGTGATTTTTTTAGTCATTCTCCAGGTCTGAAGCAGTCATTTGTAAACATAAAAAGAATGAAGATAAATACTCCATAAGCCTAGTTATATTAACAGACTATCTACTAATTTACTGCCAAGCAATCCTGATATTACCTTAACAAAAGAGAATTGTGAGATAAATAGTCGCAGAACATGTCAACAACTAGAAAGCAGTGATAATAGAGATATACCAAAACTGTAAATGGACATCAGCATCAGCATCCACTATTAAATACAGTTTGTAATATTTACTCATCCCGAATATTATATATATATATATATATATATATATATATATATATATATATATATATATATATGTGTGTGTGTGTGTGTGTGTGTGTGTGTGTGTGTGTGTGTGTGTGTGCGTGCGTCGGCTTAGAAGTTTTGAACCTGTTTTGTAGCTCCGAGATAACCCATTCGATTCCACCTGCGGATGATTTGTTAGCAGACAGCTGTGTTTAGTTTTTCGACATTAGTAATCGACAAACGACTGTTCAGTAGTACTGGCAAAAAAATGAACGAAAAGTTGTCTAACAAAATCATACACACGTAAAAAATTTTTGGGGTTGTTTTATATATATACGTATGCGTGTATATGTGTGTGTATGTGAATCTAACTGTTGCAGTTCACATCTTTAGTTCGTTGTTTTCCAATCCACTGGAATAATGTGATTAAAAGTTATTCAGATCTGGTTGCAGTAAAGTTCATTCTTCAACAATGTTTTGTTATTTTAATCAATGGTGCTATGTAGTTTCTGTAATCCTGTTGAACGTTATAATGTTAAACATTAACTTCTTCAGATGACGACTTTGAAAGAGTAACAGCATGTGTCAGGAATTGACACGAACAAGCGCTGTGCATTGCTGAAATAGCAAAAATACAAACATTTATTTTGTGACTTTTTATGTTTTTTTTTTCCAACTAGACAGAATAAAACTGTAGACGTTCATGCGACTGTTTCTGTAACTGCTAAACGAAATCTCGGAATCGTTGTATGCATGGGAAAATCAATACTCCACTTAACAACATTCGCCACACCATCGAACGTGAAGCCTCACTTTTGTCTCGCCTGGCATCAAAATAGTAGCAGCTGCTTGTTTCGGCTGGTTGCACTTTGAATCTTCTGCTGGCACAGTACTCTGATCCATTGGAATAGAGTTCTTTTATAACAGACCCTTTCAGTACTGCATTCTGACACGCTTCATACCAGGCATCACAAAATTCTTCACAGACGGTTAAGCTTTCTACTCTGTAAAATGTGTTCTGGTTCGGAGCACACACGTAACACATGAGATAATTTGTATAGCGTTGACAGGCCGGAGATGCACCTCGAAGTGGCTTCACTCTCGAAAATATAGCATCAATCTCTTGTTGTCGACAGCAGCTATTTTCTCTGAACCACGTACAATTTTTCAGACCCAGTTGAATATTTGGAGCTCTGTTGGCGAAAAATGGACAGTATTCCAGTTTTGGCTTGTCGCTTAAGGTGCGCTCTTTGTTTGCCGACACAAGCGATAAAGATATCAACAATAAAACAACGAGTAGGTTAATTACCACAACCCACATATATAATAAATGCACGTTAACGTTGAAGGCGAACATTTTTAGACTAGTTTCCTAAGCACGGAACATGTCTGTCCTACAATTTTAGCATTCAGTATGGCTGCGCTGTCAATCGATTTATCTAGCGAGACAGAGGGAGAAAAATTACCCGTGAAGCCCTGTCACTGGAGGAATTATGATCGATTTTTGTAATGTTTGTCAGCTTTCACGAGCCAGTAATGGGAGGGCTTTATAACATAACTGTAGAAATGAAAGGAATCGCTGAGAAATGACTAACTACAGTTGGCTGTAGGTATTAATACAAGTTGTTACAAGTTACAGTAAAAAATACGTTCAATACCACATGAATGCTATCAGTATGCAATGAAAACAGTAAACACAAGTCAATATGATCGCATACACAGAAAATAATGACAGAAATAGAGGAGAACAAAGAAATCTTGTTCAGGTGGAAATGTTAAAGAATTTAAATATCTAGAAACTATATTCTCAGGGAACTGGAGAATAGATCAGAAAATGGAACAGTCTCCATTGAGCCAGTCCACTTATACACCAACTGACAATGATATTAAGACAATCAAATATAAGTATGAGCGCAAATTCATACCAGCAATATGCTACCAGTGCCAGACTGGGACATTATCGAAGGCTAACCTAGCTAAAATTAACACTTGTGGAATAAGATGCCAAAAAAAAAAAAAAACCGCTATCTTAACCATATGTGACAAGCATATAAATGATATTGTCAGACAGACTGTGGGAACACCATACATATTATTCATTGAGAAACAGAAAAATGCAACCAGAAAAGCTACCAACGAGGCGCTACAGATGGAAAAAGAAAAATGAAGTGAAATCAAGAGATCGCCCTGAAAAATATAGACTGATGACATTAAAGAGTGTCCACATCAACACCAAATGACAATAGCCATGTCTGCTGAATTAAGCAATGGATCGCAAATTCCTAACGACTCTTGACGACAGAGGTGGAAATTGATAACGATGATGATAGAAGGAAAAAAGATCTTTCTGGAAGATGGAACCCATTAGATAGAAGTCAGCTATACTGGCATCGTCCTGGGTATTTTCTTCTTCTTCTTCTTCCGCCTTTCTATCCCCCAATGGAGCATAGGCCCTCAACCAACTCACGCCAAGTCGTTCTATCCTTCGCCATTGCATGGAGCTCTCCCCATGTCCTCCCGAACTTTCTAACCTCATTCTCCTACTCTCTTCTCCGTGTGATTTTTGGCCTTCCTTTATTCCTATGCCCCTCTGGGTTCCAATGCAAAGACATTCTAGTTATGCTGTTCTCCTGTTTTCTCAGTGTGTGCCCTATCCAACGCCAGCGTCTTTTCCTCACCTCTTGGTCCACTGGAGCCTATTTAGTTATCTCCAAAAGTTCTACATTAGTTATTATATCATACCATTTTATTCCCTCTATTCTGCACAGGCACCAGTTAATGAATATCTGTAATTTATTAGTAATTGCCTTGGTTGTTCTCAAGGTTCCCCCCCCCCCCCCCCCTCTCCCCCCATACAATAGTACTGATTTGACATTTAAATTAAATTAAAATTTTTTAGTTTAGTATTTCTTTTAATTTCCTTTGACCTCCACAAATTCTCAAGTGCTATATTTTAATATCTCTATCAGTTCCTCCATCTTTATCTACATTACTGCCCAAATAGGTGTAAGACTCCACGTCTTGGAGTGGGGTACCATTTAGAGAAACCACATTACTATTTGCCTGATTTATTCTCATTATCTTTGTCTTTCCTTTATGGATTTTCAGACCAAGCTGCTGTGATCTCGCATCAAGTATATTTAATTTATCTTACATCTGATTCCGTGAATGGGACAGAAGAGCAATATCGTCAGCGAAGTCCAGATCATCAAGCTGTTTTGTAGGGGTCCACTGAATTCCATTTTTGGTAGTAGCAGTTACTGTTTTCATAGTCCAGTCTATAGCCAGTAAAAATAAGAGAGGCGACAAAAGACATCCCTGTCGCACACCTGTTTTTATTTCAAATGAATCTGTTAGCTTTCCCTCATGAAGAACTCGACATTTCATGTCTTTATATGTTGCCTTTACTAAGTTGATAATTTTCTGTGGGATTCCATAGTGCCCCATCAATTTGCAGAGAGATTCCCTATCAATGCTGTCAAATGCTTTTTCATAGTCTATAAATCCAATGTAAAGTGGTGAGTTCAGTTCAATGCTTTGCTCTATTATAATACGTAATGTGGCTATCTGGCCAGTACAGGATCTGTTTGAACTAAAACCTGCCTGTTCATCTCTTAGCATTTTATCAATTGCATCTTTTAATCTTTCCAAAATAATTCTACTTAATATTTTTCCAGGAACTGACAGCAACATAATTCCTCTATAGTTTTCACACTTCTGTAGATCACCTTTTTTTGGGCAGTTTCACAAGATATCCTTCTCTCCAGTCTGCTGGTATTTCTTCGGTCTCCCAGACTTTACTGAATAATCTATGTAGCAACTCTGTTGATGTGTTTATGTTGGCCCTGATGGCTTTAGACGGGATACCATCTGGGCCTGTCGCCTTTCCTTCCGTGAGAAGATTAATAGCTTTTAAAATTTCCTCTTTGGATGGTATCTCACAGTTGATATCCAGTTCCATTTCTAAAGGCTGGATATCTGGGGGTAGCTCTGGGCCTGGTCTATTTAGAAGCATTTCAAAATATTCAACCCATCTGTCCGTTTGATCTTTAGTGTTAGTAAGTACCTTTCCTTGACTGTTTTTGATTGATCCAGTTGGTTGACTGTATTTACCCACCAATTTTCTTGTGTTACCGTAAAGTTCTCTGAGGTTTCCTTTTGCTGCTGCTGTCTCTGCTTCTTGTGCTAGATCAGTTAGGTATTTCACTTTATCTGCCCTTATATGCCTCCTAACTTCCTTGTTGGCTTCTGTGTATTTCTCCTAAGCTCTAGCTTTCTTCTTCTTTTGTCAAAATCTGCTTGTGCCGCTAGGCGTCGCAGTCTATCAGATGATCGGCAACCGAGCCAGGGCGCGCTCAGTCGCTTCATATGCCGTGATGTTATGAAGTCTCAAGTTGTCCGTGACTCCTTCAATCCATCTTCTTCTTGGTCTTCCCCTGCCTCTTGGTGTTTCGATTTTCATGTTGTATGCTCTTGATGCTGGCATCATTGGTTCCATTCTCATTAGGTGACCAAACCATTTCATTCTTTGCTTCTCAATAAATTTAACGATGGGTATGGTTCCAATAGTTCTTGTAAATCACATCGTTTCTCACTCGATCTCTTCTGGTTTTTATTCGCAGCCATTCTCAAACATCTCATTTCACAGGTGGTTAGTCTTCTCTCGTGTTCTTTTGTTAATGTCCAAGTCTGACATTGATAACCTAATGTCGGTATAAAGATTGTATTTATAATTTGTCTTTTTATCTCAGCTGGGACAGCAGGGTGTTTTAAAATTGGGTCAAGCTGGTATGCGACATTGTTGGCTTGTTGGATTCTTGCTTTGATCTCTCTGTCTATTTTACCATTGAATGTAAAGATACTTCCCAAGTATTTAAATTCTTGCACTTGTTTTAGGCTGTGATCTAGAATCTTTATGACGACGGTCTGTTGCTCTCTACTTACGCTCATGACTTCTGTCTTTTCAGTATTGATCTTCATATGATGCTTGAGGCAACTGTCGTGTAGTAGGTTTATGTGGTCTTGCAGCTGTTTACTATCACTGTGAAATAGGCATTGATCGTCGGCAAAGAGCAGCTCATTGAAGTCCACCTGTTTATCGACATCTGTTGGTGTTATGTCTATTTTATTTATATTGTCCATAAATATTATGAAAAGTAAAGGTGATAATACACAACCTTGTCTTACTCCTGATGTTACTGGGAACCAGTCTGTGATGCCAGCTCTTGTTCTAATGGCGCTTTCACTTTGTCTATAAATAGCCCTAACACAATCTAAAATTGTTCCATTTATACCGTAGTTTTCAAGAACTTTCCATAATAAATTTCTGCTTACTCTATCGAAAGCTTTTTCTTGATCTATGAAAGCGATGTTCATTTGATGTCTGTGTTCTATTGTCTTTTCGCTAACTTGTCTTAAAGCAAAAATAGCGTCAGTACACCCTCTTCCTTTCGTAAATCCGACCTGTGATGGGCTCAGGATGGTTCTACAACGGATCTAATTCGTTGTTCCAGAATTTTGGCAAACATTTTGCCTACGTGGCTTAGAAGGGAGTTGCCTCTGTAATTGTTACAATCTTGCTTATTGCCTTTTCTTTTCCAAATTGGGACTATAAGGGCTCTTTGCCAGTCTATTGGTACAGTTCTTTCATTCCAGGCTTTCCTAAATATGTGGAGTAGCCAGGTAACTCCAATTTCTCCACAAGCCTGTATTGCCTCGGCCGATATTCCATCAACACCTGATGCCTTATTTTTGGGACTGCATCTGATTGCTTCTCTGACTTCTTGTTCGATTACTGTTCCTCGTTTGTACATCTGGGTGTGAATGGTACTTTTTCCTCATTTCCTGTTACATTCAGAAGAGTCTGAAAATATTCTTTTCACCTTTCTCTAATCTTGCCCTCTTCATGTATGGGTTTGCCTTGACTATCATTGACATATTCAGATGGCTGGAATGGTTCATCTCTAGTTCTCATTTTTGCAATGGTTTTGTAAAACTGTCTCAGGGCATTCTCATATGCGCTCCGTTCCCATCTTCAGCAGCCAGCCCAGAGTTTCAAAACTAACGGTACGGACGCAGTCTGATTGTATGTCCATCTTGCCATTCCTCTGAGTGTAGTGTGCCGGCCAGGCCTTCTGGTCACGCCCAGGTGTGTCATTATCTCTAGGCCATGATAATCTATTTTCTCTTCTACTTGTTCCTAAAGGGTCTTGACCATATCTGCCTTGTCATGTATCAACTCACCACCCAGTGGTGCAGATCTGGCCAATCTGCCTGCGTTGTTCTACTGTAAACATGTCCCCAATATGCAACAGTTAGTCGATTTCAGTCACCATTAGAACGCACGGTGTATCTTAA